GATCATGTAGTACAGGAGCAGAGGTAAGTTTCTGTTTTAACGCATTCATCGCTTCCTGAGCTTCAGCAGACCATTTAAACGTCTTACTTTTTGACAACAGTTCGGTGATGGGAAAAGTTAATTCAGCAAAATTTGAAATAAAACGACGATACCAACCACATACACCTAAAAATCCTCTGACTTGTTTGATATTACGAGGTGGAGGCCAATTCAGGATACAGGAGATCTTGGCTGGGTCTGTGGAGATACCTCCTTCGCCAATAATGTATCCAAAATAATTAACTTTGCTGACATTCAGCGTTAAGTTTGCCTTACGGAATTGCTCTGCAATTCGAATCAGGACAGACAAATGAGATTCAAAGTCTTCGGTTACTATGCATAAATCGTCTAAATATCCAAACACACAGTGACGGAGATCTGTAGGAATAAGATCGTCCATTAGTCGACACATAGTTGATGGAGCGTTACATAAACCGAATGGCATTACAACAAATTGAAAGAGAGCTCGACCTGGCACTGTAAAAGCCGTGAGTGGTTTTGCTTCATCCGTTAACTGAATCTGCCAATAGGCATCCTTTAGATCCAATTTACTAATAATATTAGCCTTTGGTAAGCGAGAGAAGATCCCATCAATGCTTTGTAAGGGGTACGCATCTTTTTTCGTTGCTTCGTTTAATTTCCGCGCATCTAAACAAAGTCGGACTTTATTTGGCTTAATTACCATACGAATTGGTGAGCTCCAAGAGCTGTTAGAGGGTTCTATTACCCCAAGCTCTAGCAACAATTCCTTCACCGCTTCTAACTTTTGTAGTTGCCTCTCGTTGAGCGGATAGGAATCCTGGACAATTTGAGTTACTGAAGGGCTCTCGATTGCACCAACTATACTCGGCGCTAATGCAAAAGTTCTCCAGAAATCAATTCCTAATATAAGTCTCTGAGCTATGGTTGGAATAATGTATAATTCCATTACATTTTCATTATCTTTATATTTCATCTTAACTTTCAAAATTCCTAAAACCTTATGGGCCTTGGCATCCGCAGTTTTAACTTGCGATACGATGGCTTTATATCCGGGAAAACAACTGAAATCCTGCAAAGCTAAATCTGCTCCTATACAGCTAACATTTGCTCCTGTATCAAGCAAACCCCATTTTAAATTGCTATAATAATTTTTCAATCGTTTTGTATTCCGCTTTCGTGGCTTTGTTTTTTCATTAAAGATTCTATCTCGTACTAAATAATAATTTCGAAGCCTGTCTTCATACGGCCGAAATGCTGTTTTCAAATCCACTGACTCTTGCGTGGTATTTGACTTATCTAATATTTTGGATTGAAGATCAACTATTTTCATTTCTGTCTCATCCTCCAACCTTTGACCTAATGAGTTGTCTAAGTCTTTGTCTACGTCTGGGTATGAAGCTATGATTGGGACTGGGACATCCGATTGTTCTGGGATGCCCCCGCCTTTCGGTTTTCCGAACGATTCTTACAGTTCAAACAATTGGGTTTATAGACTTCCGGCTTGCCACATCCGTAGCAAAATATGCGACGTTCTGCTAAACAATCCTCAAATATATGACCCGCCTTGGTACAGTTCCAGCAAATAATTTTCGAGGGCGCTCTCAAAGCCGAAATATCCTTGTCTAGTTCATCTGCCTCTGCCTCTGTCATTGAGTCTTCATCGAAGCGAAAACTCGGTAGTTGGTCTCTTTGGGTTTTGCTTGAGTACGGATTGTTTTGGCAGCATCCAGCAGAAACCTTTCTCTCTTTTGGACCAACTTTCGTAAGTGTTCCATAGAATAGATATCTTCAAAAAGCAACCTATCTTTCATATCCGTGAGCAAATTTCCCTGAACTAATTCAATTAATTCGTTTTCTTCAAAATGCACTGACAATTTATCCATTAGTTTGCAAATGGATTCGTAAAAGGTATCAAACAATTCGCCAGGTTTCTGTTTACGAGCACGAATTTGTTCGCGTAGCTCGGTCATAGATCGACTTTCTTTATATTGGGCACGCAGCGCGGTTGCAAACTGTTGCCAGTTCAGGTTCTCGGTTTGTTTATGCATTCGCCAAAACCAAGAACTAGCCTTGCCTACTAACAGCTGATGCACATTTCGGACAAGCGAATCAAAATCATTATTAAGATGTTCTCGCGTTATTACTTGTACTCGATATAAAAATTCTTCCACCGACAAACCCTCAGATGTCCCTTCGAAACGCCCACCCCACTTCTGAATAATATCTGCGACCTTATTCGTTGCTAGAATGGATGAATTATGAGAAATGAGACTTTGGTTAACCGTGGGTGTTCTTTCTTGTTGTCGATTTTCCTGATTGTTTCTCACTGTTAATGATTGCATCATTTGCCTTACAGTTTCTGGAACTAAAACTTCAATGTCCGGTTGCGACCAATTATCTTCGTTTAGATTATCGTCACTCCGATTAAATCGTCTAGGCAGTCTGCCTCTTCGTGCACCTCTTCGTATTGCACCTCCTCTCTCCATATTAGTGTTATTACCCCTTGCACCTCTATTACTATCTACAGCTGCCACGTTAGGTATTAACTCTGGTTGCTGCGAAAAAACTTCTGCCTCTGTTGGGGGATTTTCTACAAGTTCTAATTGTCTAGCCACTGAACGAGTATTTGGACGTTTATTCGCAGTAGTTCCTGGTGGATCGTTTTCAGCTCTGGAGAGAAATTTCCAATAACTACTTTAACATCCTTCAACAGAATTTTCGTAAGACACGAAGGACATTCATTCTCTTTATCCGGATGAAACTTACTCTCAACACAAGATTTATGGAATACATGCTTACAAGGTGTCATCGCACAAGGCTGTGTATCCACCATTGGCTCTTCGCACAATAAACAAACATCTTGGTTTGCCATTGGAGCGAACGTTTTATCAGGAGTATGATGAAGTGGCATAATGTTTTTGTTTAGGTTCTACAAATTTGTGTTTATTTTGGAATAATTTCTCGTTATATTTTATTTATCTCGTTTTGACCTATCTTTGGGGATATGAATGATCTGATCGTAGTTAACCTGGTTCCGACATAATTTATTTTGGTATTTTTATTTGTTTATTTATTTATTTATTTTTTTTTTTTTAATATATGTTCGGGCTATTTCCTCTAATTGGAATGATACTTGATTTTCAGATATTTACTAATCGCAACTAACAGACATATGTACACTTACGCATACCCTATGTATTCCAGTCAATCCAACTTTGCAAACAACTAACCGATAAACCATTTTCTCACTCCTCTGATGATAGAAAATGAAGCTACTCTACAGCTCAAAAACCGATAGCGATACTTCGGTCGTCAGAGTTCACACTTGCAAACCTACGATATCCAGAAAGTATAAACTATAGTTATAATATGTACTGCAGACCACTCTCAATAATTTATCATTCGAAAACAAACGAGCTATCTATCTAGGGATTTCGGTTGCTTTACTTTTATTGGTTGATCTTACTCAGCGCACGCAAATAATTCGATATCCGAAAAAAATAAAGTACCTCCTAGACATTTGGGCTTAAATAACTGAAATCTCTCGTTATGTAGGATTCAATTATCGCGGCCCCACGTTGGGCGCCAAATACTTATGTAATGGTTGCCTACACTGAAGAAAAATTGATCACAACTATCTACAGTGTAAGTTAACTGAATCAGGCAGCAGTGTATACAGCGGAACGGGACCCTCTTGTTGTTTCTAGCTCTTCCGGGATGGAGGGGTTATTGCTGTTACTGCTTCCGACATTACACGAAGAATTATTTATAGAGTCCCTATCTGAAACTAATAAGCCATCTGATCATGGCTGAAATCTGCAGGCTAACTGCCTACCAAAAGAAAATCAGAGAAAATCTCCAACTCACAGGACGACAATAATGATGAAAAGGGAATATGTCTAGCACCAGGATCTGTTCGTGGCGTCTTAGCTGTCGTTCGACACTCACGGAGTCGCTACCCACCCTACCAATGCCTTTGTACTTTAACTGTTAGCAAAGACCCCATATTGTAGCTGATCAAAACATTTAAATCCCCAGGTCACGAGATGAGTGCATCTACTCCATCATGATATTACTGATTCGATATGACATACTGCATTATTTATTTAAATAATTTCAATAGAAAAGTAACTTAAAGAAATTCTGGTTAATGACATAATAATTTCGAATGTTCGTTTTAATTATTTTGCTTCTTTTCATTTTTTTAATTTAGAGAATTCAGTTGCGATTCATTTATGCTTTCATTGCGACTACAAATGTTTTTAAACGAGGACTTAATGATTAGTTTCTAATTTACTTGTATTTTATTTACAAATTTTCTGATAAAGTTAGCGAAAAGCAGAATAAAACTACGCGTTCCTATTCATAATTCAAATATTTAATCTTCATAATTACGTTGGTGCTGGTAGCAATAGAGATCTGCAATGCATACACTAGCCAAGAATATAGCAAAACAAACGCATACCGAGAATTAAGATTTGGTAATGATAATTATATACTCAATCAGCGCGCGGCTAGAGGAGCATTTATACGTAATTAGAAGTGTCCAGAATCTTGCAGCCCAAAACAAAACAAACAGAAAAGAATAACGAACAGAGCTTACGGCTCTTCACGGTAGCAGCGGTGGTTTTGGATGATCATATCATGTCACATTAAATGGGTGTTTATATATATATATCCATTTTGGATCACTTACCCCATCCGATCCTCGTTGAAGGCCTTCACGATGACGTGGATGACGAGCTGTTAGGGTGTGTTTAAAGGATTGTTAATTTAATGCAACATAAATGATTGGTTGGATCGACCCTGCTTAGCGCGTTATTTATGTCTGGTTGTGCGGGTTTTTAGGGCACATGAACCTACGTCAAGTTTACGCAATCGCCTTCGCTTAGCTAGCGCAGGCACTCTAGATACATACTACATTTTTCCGAGGCTCATACGAGCCAGATGCGACCGAAATCTGATTAAAAACGCGAAACTTTTACAGTTGCATAAAACCTAACTAATTCTGCGCTCCGGATCTAATGCCGGTTTTGTTTATTTCTGGAGGAGTTTACTCCGATCCTACGCCTTCGTCACGCTCTGGCCGAAAATTGTGGTCCCTGGCCACAACGTTTGTCGTCTCCCTTCCTCTGCCGCAGCTGGCGAAGCGCGGAAAGGAAAATTAAGTAATCCCACGCCGATGACGTAATCGGGGCTCCTGGCCACCGAACAGATTCGCGGGCAGGGTCGCAAAGGTTTTCGCTTCACCCTTGGCAATATTCCGCTTGCCCTTATAGGAAGGTTCGACTAGAAAAAACAACCGTGGTTACGGAGAGAGCTTTCAGTCGTATAAGACAACTATTTACCGGCAGAGGACGATGCAGAGTAAACTGCGGTACGCTTGAGCGTGGAGCTCCAGAAAGTTCCTTAGCCTGTATGTAGGCTTGCAAGCCGAGAAGGCACGCAGTATTGCGCTGTCTCTATATGAAACCAATATTAATGCAAGTGCAAATGGCTTGAAGTTTCAAAATAATTACCCAAAACCGGTGCGCGACACTGGCGGATGGTTAACTGGTCGGATGCAACGGCCGATGCCTTGTATTTAATTGGCAAATGGACACGTGGCACTTGTGTATTAATTTCGCTCACAGATCGACACTTCTGTAGCGTTCGGCGTTGCAGCGAAAAAAAGGAAGAAGGCGGATGTTTTGATCGTGTCGGAAATGATGCTTAATCGATAAATTCGTGCTGTCATCTGTCAATTTCGCACAGCTGATTGTGATCGACTAGGGCTGGAGAATAAGATATGACTATCGTAAGGCGCGTATGTCAAATCTTTTGAATTTTACAACGTTAACCTTTTTGTCCAATGCTGCCCATTACATGTTAGGATATCGGTATAGCCGTTGGAGTATCGGCATAGCCTACTACAGAAGGTAAGATATTATTTTCAGCAAAATGCCACCGAAAAGATCGAATCTCAACAACGTAAGCTGCAGAGTGGCACGACGCAGACGTTTCGAAAGAGCTCATCAGTTGCCAGAACAAGTCAATACAAGAAATAGAGCTCAAAGAATTAGGACAGCAGAAGGTCGTGCACAAGAATCCCAGGAACAGCGTAGCGAACGTCTGCAGCAGAATATTACGAGAATCAGGGCGGCTCGAGATAGAAACATAGATATGTATAGTACGAGCACAAGTACGACAAAGGCAGCGGAACAGTCGCTCATTATTTCGTACATCATTCGTTCGTCTTGCTTTTGAATAGGCACCAGATATTAACTACTTTGCGCATTCAAAAATTGCTATCGGTGGAATGGACAAAGTATGTCAATATTGTCAGGCGTTTAAATTTCGGAATGAAACTGCCGGTATGTGCTGCGCAGCAGGAAAAGTCGTGCTGCAACCTCTACTTGCTCCGCCAGAACCTTTATTATCCCTTCTTGCTGGAAATTCAAATGACTCAAAATTATTTTTGCGTAAAATACGCAAATTTAATTGTTGCTTCCAAATGACGTCATTTGGGGCCACTAAAATTTGTGATCTTGCATCCGATGGACGTAATTTTGAAACTACATTCAAAATACAAGGCCAGATGTACCACAAAATTGGATTATTGATGCCAAGGCCTGATGATAATCCGAAATTTCTTCAAATTTATTTTATGGGCAATTGTGAAGAGCGCGTAACGACTCGATGCCAGTATAATTTTATTGAACAAGCAGAGGAAGCGGTTTAGGAGTCTATAGCGAACAAACATAGTGACACGAGATTTTTATATATTAAGATTACTGTTGAAGGTTTAATATTTTATTTACTGACAACTCTGTAATATCCCCATTGTTTCCGTATTGTTTCCTACAAATAATATGCATGACAAAACAGTGTTTGCCGGGTCAACTATAATTAGTACGGGCCCAGCAAAGCGGGTCGGGTCTGCTAGTCTTAATACATATATAAAAATTTCCTGTCACTATGTTTGGTCGCTATAGACTCCTAAACCGCTTAACAGATTTCGTTCAAATTTGCAGGCAATTTGCAGTTTGGTTCAACTTGAGAGATAGGATAGCTTAGATCTTTTACATCATGGCAGTTTCGGCAGGACAAGGAGGAATCTTATTTTTTTATGCACTCCTCCGAAACGACTTTACCGATTATCATGAAATTTAGTGTGCTTATGCAGTTTGGTTCAACTTGAGAGATAGGATAGCTAAGATCTTTTACATCATGGCAGTTTCGGCAGGACAAGGAGGAATCTCATTTTTTTATGCACTGCTCCGAAACGGCTATACCGATTCTCATGAAATTTAGTGTGCTTATGCAGTTTGGTTCAACTTGAGAGATAGGATAGCTAAGATTGTAACGCCTGACGCAGAGCCAACCTCAAAGATACTTTCCTGGCGCCATCTAGGGGGTATTAACGCAGCCCCAAGTGTGGCAGAGGGAAAGGTGCAGAGCGGAGCTAATTGGCGAAATCCACCTCTAACGGGGGGTAAATGTCAGCGATCGGCTGCGACCCGAAGGAGGGGGAGAGTAAGTGAGAGGGATCCCGCTGGATTCGAGGCGGAATTCGCTTGCATTTAATTCTTGGCGGCAGAGCGGACTAGATCCATCTCGGGTGAAAATTTAATAAAGCAAGTAATCAAGTTTTCGCGAGTGGAACATATTGGTTGTTTTTTTTTGTGCATTGGCGCTGGCCGAGATACAGAATAGAATTAAAAGAAGGCAAACGGGTTAATACCCATATTTCAATCAAGCGCTGAGTTCCCCCAGGGTGAGTTTTTCTGTGAAGAAAAAAAAAAGTGACTCGTTATTAAAATGTGAAAATTTATATAGGGCCCGGCGCTTTATAAAAAGCGAATTTTCCCTTTGGTTGCGGCGGACACAAATTGCGGAAGAAGAGGAGGAATAGCGGAATTAGCGGACAGCCTAAAACGACGCTACGGCTTACCGCCAAGCGGCCACTGCATTGGCGCGCCGGCGCAAGAGATCAGAGGAGCCCCTCAGTCCCCTTGCCCCAGACTTGGAACCGTTTTAATATTCAGCTTTTGATTTCGGAATATGTGAAGGCAACCTAGGATAGGGAAGTAGCCGCAAGACATAGCGCGGGATGAGCAGCGTCAAGCGGCGACTCTTTATTTTTGTTCTGTAGCCTATTTTTGCATTCCGCTCCCCATTTCTAGAGCAGTTAGTGTGAAGGTGCCGCTCGATTAAGCGAGAAAGAATTTTTGCCGGAAACGCGTATCAACAACAACAAAAAAAGAAAAATATTAAAAGAAAATAAAAGCAAAACTTTAAATGTCGCGAAATAATTAATGTAAGTTAGTTTATATTTAGTGAAAAGTTTAAATTAGTGCTAGAATTGTTTTTTTTTTCTGTTTTTTTGTGGTGAGCCAACTAAAGAAGTGCGAGGAAGAAAAACAGTTGTGGCACAATCGCCTTCGAATATGAATTTTCGGAAGTCTTAGGGCATTTTTATTTCTTTCCTCAGTTTCCCCCCCTCCTCTGCAGCTAGCCTCGTCGGAAGCGCTTTCGCCGATGGAATTGCACCAAGGGTGAGTGTAAAGATTGGATTATCTTCAAAAATATAAATGCCAAATGCTTCCCAATATCAAAAAGAAAATTAAAGAGGAAATAAAAAGAGAGTAAAAAAATGAATTTTGTTATCAAGGCAATTGCCACAATTTTAATCCGTTTGACCCACTGTGCTTAATTACAAACGAACAAACTAAATTTATTGAAACCAAATTTTTATTGTTTTCTTTCGTGGCCTCACTAGAAAAAATATATAAAAGAAAAAAAGTAAAAATAATTAAATACTATTAACGTCATAAAAGTCCAAATTATAATAAGAGGAAATTTTGTAGTTTTATCGTTCAGCATTGTATTATTTAATTTACGTTTGATGTTTCGTTTATATGTTTTTAGTTTTTACTTAGGAAATAAATAATTTTTATAATGTGCTAAAACTCATTAATTTTATTGCCTCCCCCAGCATGTCGCCCCCGTAAGGCCTGTGATTGTTTTCAAAGGGGTCATCAAAAGAATATGGTTAGGAGTGGATGAGATGGCCAAGGCAGGGAGGGCAGATGAAGGACCTCAACAACAGCCGAGGATCCAAAGCCCTAAATTTTGTGATGAGAGAAGAGTAGCCCGTCCGTAAATGTATTGTGACAATTTGATTTCCCTTCCCCCTTTCTCGTCGCTGCACGCAAATATTAATAAGTTACTGGTTGCAAAAGGCAAAAGCGAAATTCCGGCAAGACCACCACCACCATAGCCGACGAGCGAAGCCGAGCAAATCCGCGTGCGCCGGAGTTTTGCAACAACATCTCGCCTGAATCGTTACAATAATGATTATTAAAATCAGTAAAATTATTATGGCGCCCAAACGTGTTGGCCAAATCAAAGTTTTGTTTTGAATTTAATGTTTAAAATGATGTCACATACATGTATTTTTTTTTAGTTTTGCTTTGTTTTTCTTGTTGTTAAATTAGACTCATAGGGATACCGGGATAAAAAAATTATCAGTAATTTTAACCGGGCCACGGATAATTTAGGAATTAAGAAGACAAAAATACACTCCATTTTTTTCGGGAACTCATACACTAAATTAAACTAGACGCATAGGAATACCGGGGCAATTAAAATTATTAGTAATTTTTACCGGGCCACGGATAGTTGAGTTTAGCAGAGATCCTGTCTAAATAAAAAAATTAGCGAAGCACATCCCGCTAATCAGTTGCATAGGAATTCAGTTCGATGTTTTTTATAAAATGAGTCGACTGACCACGGCTGATGGCGAAAATGATATGCCGCTCAAAAATGTAGGGTGCGCTAAAGCCGCGAGGTTTCAAGGCCAAGGCGCATTGTTGTTGTGCTAGGGAGCGAGATGACAAAGCACAGGCTGCAATAGCGTCACGCTTATCAAAAAGCATAGCTCCCGAGTAGCAGCAGCATAATTTTTCTTCTCTCTCTCATTGCATGGAATTTGGGTTTGTCAAAAACAAAGCTTTATCGGGGACGGCTGCTAGGTTGGGTGGCAGTAATTGATACTTACATATATATTTCCGTTTACTTATTTATTATTTTTATTATTTTATATTGATTGAAAGTATTATTTATTCATTATTTATTCATATATTCATATTCTTATTTTTTATAAAAACATTTATTTAAAAATTAGTCGTCAAATTTTTTACCGTATAAAACGAGCGAATATTCTCTCTCAAAGTTGAGCGACTACCATAGGAGTATAAGCGAGACAGCATCAGCGGCTGCAGATCTGAAGGTCGTTGACCGGCTGTTAGATAAGAACTCTCTTCAAGAAGTGAATGTAGGTCAGTGCCGAAGCGAAGAGAGTCGATCACCTGTTCGCCTGACTGAGGTCGTTGACCGCGGCTGCGCCAAAGGAAATAAGCTATTGCGAGAGGAGTTATTGAGGCAGGTCGGGAAACAAAGAGAGAGGATCAGCTGCTTAGTTGGTGCTCGCTCATTGAGAGCAAGCTGCTCTGTGTTTATCTTTGTTTACCTTTTTAGATACTCGTTAGATTAAGGGATCTTGTTTACATTTCGGTGCTTAGATATTTTTCGTTTTGCTTAAACATGGCTGATTCTGAAAGGGAAGACGTTGCTCCTGAGCCAGAGTGCTCGCTATGCAGAAAACCTTTGTCCACAGGCACTGTGTTTAAAACCAAGTGCAATCATGAATTCCATAAAAACTGCGTAGCAAGTCATTCAAAAACAAACCAAAAGTGCCCAACTTGTGGAACGCTCTGCTTCGTAGCTCCCGCTGTGACTCCTGCTTCAAAGAGGACAGCGAGTGCGGATACGCCATCAGGCAGCAGAGAAGCAGTGACGTCAGCTCAAGTTAGCAACATGGTGGCTCAGGCGATGCGAGGTATGCAAAATGAGATCCTAACGGAATTGTCTCAGCAGATGGCACAGCTAATACAAACAAATCTTGCTGCATATTTGCCTAGAAACACTCCGACTCCTGTCGATCAAAATGTAAGACAGTTTCCAAGTACGCATCATACATTAGGAGGACAGAATTTTGGGCAGGCATGGCAGGATTCAGGCACAGCTCATAGGCGCGACTCAAATGGTTCGCATGCCAGATTGACTCCGGAAAGCATGGGGTCTGATCTGATGTATAGGCCGGATAAAGTAGGAAATATTATCAACAGCTGGAAGTTGTGCTTCAATGGCAACCGAGACGGAATAAGCGTGGATAACTTCATTTATCGCGTCGAGGTTCTGACAAAGCAAACTTTGGGAGGATTGTTTTCAGTTCTGTGCAACAACGCAAGTATCCTATTCGAGGGAAAAGTCAGGGAGTTCTACTGGCGTTTTCATAAGTCGACTCGAGAGTGCACCTGGGATTTACTTTGTCAAGCGCTGCGGAAGCAATTCCGAGATACTCGGACGGACGTGAATATCCGGGAGGCCATTAGGGACCGTAAACAAAAAGAAAAGGAAAGTTTCGACTCGTTTTGGGATGCGATAGTGGCGCTCATGGATGGGCTAGAGACACCTATGTCGGAAAGGTCTACGGTGGAAATCCTTCGCCGGAATTTAAGGCCAGAAATACGACATGAGTTGCTAAATGTGGAAATAGGCTCAGTCGATCAGTTGAGGGAAATTTGCAGAAAACGGGAAAGCTTTTTGGAGGATGTCAGGAAGAATTATACCTATCAAAAGGTGGTGCCTTTCAAGAAGCAGGTAGCCGAAGTGGTAGAAGATTTTTTTTCCGATGACGCCATCGAATTTTCCGATATTGAGGAAGTAGAAGAAGTCGGGGCCGTGGCATTAATTTGTTGGAACTGCCGGAAGGAGGGACATCGATATCACGATTGTGATGGCAAGCGCAGAATCTTTTGCTACGGTTGTGGAGCCCCTAACGTCTACAAGCCGGCTTGCGCTAGGTGTTTAAAAAACGCGAAGAGGGACACGCAGCCTCGTCAACAGTCGGGTCCCCATCGTCCTCGTCCGACGAAACCCGATGCAAAGCCTTAAACACAAGTTCAAATATTCCAGCTCCAAAAGATAGCAAGGCCGAGCCAAGTGACGCCTCAAATCGCCACCAACAGAGTTTAAACGAATCCAGATTAGAGAAATTAAAGCCACAAAAGTCTGAATCACGCAATGCCAAGCGTTTAAGAAAGTACCAGAGAGCCGTAAAGTTAGTTAACGCTATAAGATACAAATCTGCAGATAATCGCCCTTATGCTGAAGTAGAAATCTTGGGTCGCCAGATTATGGGTCTGTTAGACACGGGAGCTGCAATCAGCGTAATAGGAGGAATCTTGGCCGAACAAATTATTAAAAGCAAATTATTAAAGTTCCATTTAAAAAAGGAGGATCTTCGGTCAGTACGGCTGATGGCAAGAGTCAGGAGGTCATAGGCCGAATAAAGGTCCCCATCCGTTATAACGACCAAAACGAACCTATGGATTTTTATATAATTCCATCTCTTAAACAGGATTTGTATTTAGGAATCGATTTTTGGTCTTCATTTAATTTATTGCCACCAGAAATGGTAGTATCAGAAATCAACTCCGATTCACACGAATTGTCAGCTCAGCAGAATGAAACGTTGCAAGCGGTAATAGAAAAATTTCCATCTTTTGCTATTGTTGGGTTGGGAAAAACGTCTAAATTGTCACACTCCATAGATATCGGAGACGCCAAGCCAGTGAAACAGAGGCATTTCCCAGTCTCGCCGGCGCACAGTAGCGCCTCTCGAACAATTAGCGTTGCAAAAATCAAAAAAGTCATATTCGCAAAAACGATTTTAACCATACTTATTCGACAGGAAATTTAACAAGGATTCAGAATCTGCAATAAAATCAATTTTAAGTTTTTTTTTTGTAGCATTTAAAGTTGAACTTTGTTTCGTTTTTTGCATCATACAAAAAAAATGTGTAAATTGGTCGACTTTCAGGTAATATTACAAAAAAACCATAAAACCAATGGTCATGGTTTTTACTTTAAATGATAGATACATTCATAAACTATTAAAGAACCTAAAAAAACGACACTTTGGTTTGGGCTTCTACAGGTAAATCGCTACCTGCCAGGTGTCCATTTTTTTCACCTTTTTTCTGCCTAAAGTAGTCTATATCTTCTGACGCCAATGAAAGCCACTGACTACACTATGACTACAAGTTCCGTGGATCTTTCCTGGATCAGAATTAACTTTCATCGGCTGCGTCGAGCTGCGTCTGCGGAAATGCAACGCAAAAAACCAAAACAACTCAGAGTAAAATATACCAAAATACCGACACAATTTCATACATTTCAAGAAATATACTAACTGTAGCGCGTGGCGATTACACTTCGGATTAAAAAAAAAATTTTTTTTTTCACTTTTCAAATTATTTTTATTTGAGCAAATACATAAAAATAAACATAAAAAATTAAATAAAAATTTTTGTTTAAAAATTGTTTTCATTGAAAAAAAATTATTTTTTCACTTTGATACCCTTTAAAAAGGCGTATTTGTCGGCGTGGTACTTTATGCAGTACATATATATATTTTACAACAATTACCTGTCCAATGCCGTTTAAATTATTCGATTACCTTATTTGGTTCAAAAGATATGATTTTTGCAACGCTAAACGAGAAAAGGCGCTACTGTGCGGCGGTAGAAAATCTTCTATACGATGAGGTGGATCGGATGTTAAAGCTGGGAGTTATAGAGGAATCCGATAGCGCCTGGTCGTCTCCGGTAGTGTTGGTCCAGAAGCCGGGTAAAGTCAGGCTTTGCTTAGATAGTCGCAAGTTAAATGCGGTTACCCGGAAGCACGCTTATCCGCTCCCGCAAATAGATGGGATTTTGGGCCGCCTCCCCAAGGCAGTGTACATTTCAAGTCTTGATCTCAAGGATGCCTATTGGCAAATTCCACTCGAGCCGGAATCCAGGGATAAGACTGCCTTTACCATACCAGGCAGGCCCTTATATCAGTACCGGGTAATGCCTTTTGGTCTTACAAATGCGTCGCAGACCATGACACGCCTCATGGACAAAGTCATCCCGGCAGAGTTGCGAAACGAGGTGTTCGTATATCTTGACGATTTGCTAATCGTGTCTGACAGTTTCGAGTCTCATATGAAGGTACTCGGGATTGTTGCTGGCCATATAAAGGCGGCTGGATTAACCTTAAATGTTGAAAAAAGCAAATTTTGTCGGAAATCGGTAAAATATTTGGGTCACATTGTTGGTGAGGGTGTCATTCGGACGGATCCGGAAAAGATTTCCGCGATGAAAGAATTCCCGTTGCCCAAGTCATTGAAAAGCCTGCGGAGATTCCTTGGCATGGTCGGTTG